AGTCCAATTTTCACTCTCTTTTAGCTCCATTTTTGGTCTCTACCACCTCCTGAAGGACTTATGCGCCTTTTTTTATCTGATAAATGCTCAAGTCCTATTCACTCAGGTGGATCAAAACAGTAAATTTCAGGGTTGAACAGCTAAACAGTGAACCATAAAGCTCATGGAAGTGATAATTCTCTGTCAGTTTATCACTTCGTTCGGCCCCTTTGACAATGAGACTGTTATAAAAAGTAGACAGTCGGAGCAGACACAAATTAAAACTTCTCTTTTCTGTCTCTTAAGTTAAAGTATTTGCGTCCCATCGGATTTAAACTTTGGGTAACTTCTGTGGCTTCACCTGGAAAACGAAGGAGTCGTTAAACTCGGGGTCGGGCCCTGTTCCCCGGGCCTTGGCCTGGCGAGGCCTCCGGTCGTCGGGGAGAAGCCGGAGCTCCACCAGCGTGACGTTGCCGTGGAAACGTGGAGGGAGGTTGCCGAGGCGGAGCAAAGAGACCACGAGCTGCTCGCTGCTGTATCGATACTCCACGGAGAAGCAGAGGCGGGTGGACATGCCCGGAGGAGGGGCCACCACCTCGTTCAGAGGAGGAACCGAGTACAAACCGGCCAGAACCGTCCCCACCGGGTACCAACCTGAGGAGAACAGGCCGATAGAGCAGTTCTGAGGAAGTCTGAAGGGCTGATCTGCAACTTTTCATCAATAGTGGTCCTTAAATTTGATGACATGCCTGTGATTTTATAAGAGAGTCTCACTAGTTGAACATGTTTATTGCTCAAATACTGAAGCATTTTGGGGTTTACTGGTAAGAAAATTAAGAAAATCTAAGTGATAACTATAAGTAAATGTAAAGAAGTAAAAAGTAAAGAGAGATGTTCTACTGAAAAAATATATTTTCAAAAAATCTTAGAGTGGGGTGTTTATTGTTGTCTGGAAATACAGAATTATACCAGAATGAGAAGCTTTTAATGTCTAAACGATGAAATATGAACAGAAATAAGGAAGAATTGGTGACTTTCTTATTTTATGCAACATTTATTTTTTTTTTTAAATGGCAATTTTATGACGTTTTTAAAATTTTATTTTACAGATTTTTCCCCTCTATATTTATAAAATACATAAAAATGACAATAAAATTACGGAAATAGACAGCAAAATAAAAATGCTAAATTAAAGTTTAATGCTGCAAATAAATATCTTTAATTCTGACAAGTAGTGGAGGAGGAGCAACGTTAGTCTGACCGTCTGAAGATCAGCTTTGGTCTGGATGAAAATACCTCAATAGTTTTGGAAGTTTGTGTGTAAACATCCAAAGTTCCCACATACATGATGCTTAAGGATGCTTTTTTAATGGCTAACATGTAAAATTAAACCTGTTTTTTTCCTGTGACTCTGCTAGATATTATCTGTAATTTAACAAACCTTTGAAAATCTGTAACACACCAGAAAATTGTCAGAAAAGTATTTTAAAAATCATTCCTTTTTTTTAACAGTGTACATATGACAAGCAAAAATGTGAATGCTAACATGCTAATCTGAGATGTTGTACATGAAACTGTCTTTGTACTATTTATTTCTGTTTTTGAATTCATGTTATAAAGGCTGAATTTACTCTAACAAATTAAATAAAACAAAATAAACCATACAGACCTGCTGTTAAACAACAAGCGGTGAACCTACTTCTCACTGACAGCGACCCGCGATGAGCCAGAATGTCCCGCCGAGCCTCCATCTTCTTCTCCTCCTTCTCCTCCTCCTCTTCCTCCTCCTTCACCTCCGCCTCCTCTTCTTTCACATCTCCGTGGTTTTGTGCAACGAAGCGAGGAGGCAATGCAAAAGGGATCTCACTGGGCCTTCAGAGAGAATCATAATCAGTGAATGTATTCATGGTAAAGCTCATTTTTCAACATATTTCCATCAATAAATGAAACTCTTTTAAGATTCGTGTTGATGAATAGCTGAAGAAAGCTCATCTATGTGGGTGAAACGTTGATGAGAGCGGTACTAACGAGGCCCAGGAGCCCTGAGACACCAGGATCACCGGCGCCGAGGACAACGACGGTAAAGACGGGACCGTGGACAGCAGCTCCTGGTACTGGTTCTGGCCTTTCTTCCTCCTCCGCAGGTAGCAAAGCATTAAACTGAGCAGCAGCAGCGCCACCAGACCCACAGAGAGACCGACAGCCAGCAGCAACGCCTGGTCTGAGGACATAAACACATACAGAGGAGGTTTAGAGTTCAGGTGTGACACAGGAAGTGGGTTTAGTGTCGGGTTCTGCTCACCAGCCATCGATGAATGAAGTAACTTTGCTTGTTCTTTTCTTCTTGCCAGCTTTGACTCAGACTGACCACTGCTCTGCATTCGTTACTAATGTGAGAGTCGACTGTTGGTGGTTCTGCAGAGCTGTGAGCATTCGACACAGCTGGCTGCTTCTCAGCATGTTTATCTGCAGGGCTGGATGAAGCTCCTGAGGGGCCCCGGGGCAGAAAACGGGCCCCTACTGACCTCAATGTCAGAAACTAAGCAGCACACTGTGGCAGAGTTCTCCTAAAATATTCTGACAGTTTGTCCAAAATAAGACGACGGGGTTGGTTGTTTGTTCCATATGAAACCCTGGAGGTGCACCAGGACAGAGCACTTAGACTTTTTAAAATACAGTCGTGACTTGATAATCCGACACTAAATATAAAACCTTCTTTTATGTCGGATATCAAGGCTGTCGGATTGTCAAGACGGAAGTCGAGATACAAGAAGGGCTTGATGCTGGAAGGCTCATTAGTTGTTAATATTTATTGTTCATAGTTGTTATAATAACTAGTGTATTGTTAGAACACTACGCATCGCTGGATTTCAGCCTAACTGACCGGTGCGCTTGTGCACAGGCCCGTCGTCCGACATCAAAGGTAAATACGTTTAGACAGCAGGCTGAAGTGACCCAAATCCGATTTTTTTTTCTCCTTTGCGACCTGAATCTGGTCTTTTCATGACAGTCTGAGCAACACAGATTCGATTCGGTATGTTAAGGCTGTTTTAATTGGTTCTGTTCATGTCTTCCAGCATTTTAAAAAAATAAATAAAAAAACACCACATGGACGAGTTAATAACGTAAAAAACGTTTTTTTCATCAGAGGGTGTTGTGACCCTGTGGGTCATTTGTAGTGTTTTGTGTATTTGTGTTTTGCTGCTTGCTGTCTCTCAGTGTGTGTGTGTTTGTGGTTTGTGAACAAGTGGATTAGGAGCAGGTGGTCACCACGGATTGACTGCCTCGCCTGATTCCTGCCACACGATTGGTCAGGAGGCGGGTCCATCATCTATTTGAACAGCCCGCCAACTGCACTCAGTCTCACCTCCAGCTTTGTCATCACAAGCTCACCATTGTGTCTCTGCTGTAGGATGCAGCAGAAGCACTAGTTTGTTCCTAGTCGTGCGCTGTAGATTTTGTGACTTTTGTGAACTTGTTGAACTTGTAAATATTGTAAATAGCCAGAGAGCAGAAGTAGGAGGGAGAGGCCTGTTTCTTTTAACCCTTTTTCTCCTGTTTTGGTTTATTAGGAGGTAGGGACAGGGAAGCCAGGGTTAATTTAGTGTTTTTTGTTTGTTATGTTGGCTTATGTCTCCCTTGTACTCATAAAATAAAAGAAACTGCTCGTTTTTGACACTTGACATTCTGGTTGCTGGCCTTTTCTTGGAGCAGAAAGTCTGGTGGAGCAAAACTTCATGTTATGCTAAAGGTTCCCGTAGACCGGGGCATGACAGAGGGGTCTTTAATAATCGAGCTTCTAATGCATAAATTCAAAGCAGTCTATTATATCAGTGAGGTACTACATTTTTCACTTTCTCTTCTTTCCATTTTTAACCATTCTAGAGTCATGGATGTAGAAACCATAATGTTGATCTGCCATTGGGCCTTTAACGATGGAAGGACAGCCTTTAGTGCAAGTATTCATGGTGTCCAGAGGATGAACCCCACTGACTTTGGTGAACCCTTCACATGGAACATCTCAACTTCTGTTTGATGGATTTGGACGAAATGTTGCAGAGATGTTCATAATTTGAAGCAGTTTACCACCTGGATGGTTTGTTGGACATGCAACATTGACTTTACACAACTAACTGTGTTTTTTTTTGGTTTATTATGAAAGATAAGACAATAAACCCACGAATCCATTATCTGTACACCGTCTAATCCTCAGTAGGGTCGTGGGGGAGCCAATCCCAGCCACCTCAGGGTAAAGTTCACCTGGACAGGTCACCAGTTTTTATTGACGTTAGCTCAATGCACTGCTGTCTCACCAAGCTGTTGCCTCATATTCATGCACAGTTGCACATCATCTCCTACACTAACAATAATAAGCACCTGTCTGACTCCTCACACCTGTAATATGACGGTCCTGACAGCTGAGCTGATCTTAACTCAGAATCATAAGGCTCATAAGCCACTCACCCACCCACTGATCACTTACACCCGCACGCATCCGCACTGTGGGGCTGTCACAGATTGGACGGGAGCTAATGAGATGACCGCTAATCCTCGGGGCTAAAGGTGGAGTAATGGCTCTCTGGACATATCACACGGCGACACACTCACAAAGGCAGAAATAAATCGTTACATTCGGGCCAACTTGTCATGAGGTCCGGCTGAGACAGGAGGGGAGGATCAAGCCGAGGAAAAGGACGAAAAACAGACTGCGGGGCTGGACACAACAAAGGTGATCTTATTAGGAAGTGAAGGAGGAAGAGGGGAAGGGATGAGGGGAAGACGCAGAGACGCCATTTAGTGCAACTCTGAGGGCAAGACAAGGTGTGGACTTGGAGGTAGGAGCTTCTTCTTCTTCTTCTTTTATCTGACACTGTGATGTGGTTTCGTGAACATCCATTTAAATTAACTGACTGTTCATTCTAGTGTCTTTTAATCTGGGAACCTGCAGGTCAAACTCCAGACAGGTCAGCGTGGGGGCAGGTGTTTGGGTGCTGTAGCATAAATATGAATTCATGCATGTTTTCTTGCTCCTGAATCAGATAAAGTAGCATTGACTTTCAATAGATGGAGATTAAATTAGTAACTGCAGGTGCTTTCTGTTTCAAGATATGAAAAAACACAAGTTCAGAGTCATTTCTTCTGACCTTCACCGTTCATTCATTCCGGCTGTCTTTCTTTGTCTCTCTTGTTTCTTTGTCTTCTGGCACCTGACGGCCAAATCCTCTCTCAAATCTGTCTCGATCAATCTACATTTTGTCCCAATAATCAAATTATCTGGATTGTGTAATCTCATTTGGCTAATCTGGGAGTGCCTTCGAATGTGTGGGTGTGTGCGAGTGTGTGCACTGACCGGTGGTTCCACTCTTTTCATCCAACTCGCCAACAATATGTTTTATTCTTTAAAGTCGTACCTATTAATGATATTTTACATAACACCTATGTATCCGGTGAGAATCTAAAGAGAACCATCATCTGAATCTGGAGCTTCTCTCGGCTTAATGGAGCTTTACAAATAACTGATTTAAGGACCGGCTGATGAACATGGTGGATTTTTTTTGAGCACAAAAGAGAACGACGAGTTCCTCAGGTGTTAGCAGAAGCCAAAAAGACACCAAAGAGGGAGTGAATACTTAATTTATATTTGCTAGGTGGACAGAAATATGAAAAATAATTCATCGGGTGTCTAAACGACCAGCTGCTGGCTAATCTTCGAACACAATTTAGACAATGGTGCCACTGCGCTCCTACTACTCCTTATTTCTAATGATTGCGGCGACAGTTTGGCGCGCAGCAGTAAACCTCGCTTAGTTTAAACTTTGACCGCTGTCACGAACATCCAAAAGAGGCATCCAGCCAGGTACGGAGGAGAAACCAGAGGAAAAGCTGAGAATCTAAATACAATGTTTGCATTTGTCTTCGACACGGATCTCCATCTGAGGAGAAGGTTTGTTTAACCTGTTGATCGTGGCTGTGAGTGGTTTTAACAGTATTGTAGATTATTATAGATTGAAAATATGTAATCAGAGTGTAGGTTAATGTCTACAGCCAAATTAAAGTCTCTTAACTGAGGGAGACTCTCTTAGCATAGCGGTCTGGCTGCACCTCATCATCGTTCTGCCATCAGGGGAAAAACTCTCTGGCTTGTTTGCATTTCTTTAAACCAATCACAGTCATCTGGAGTGGAGCTGAGCGAAGGATGCGGCTTCAGTGTTCACTCAAAATAGAGATGGGGGAATTACTGTGGTGGAGCTTTTGTTTGCAGTGGGAGTGAACGGATAATCCACTGACAAAACCTAGCAGCGCTGCCTCTAAATCCTTTGCAAAACTTGAAACTTTCAGTGTGGTTCGCTGCTGTCCAGAGGTTGTTGTTGTTTGTGAAGTGGATTTTGAAACAAACAGACAGAGGAGGAACAAAAGCAGAAAGTCGGCTGACATCAGCAGCCAATAGCAGGCTTATAAAGTCTACATCTGGTTAGCCAGACAGCAACGGAGGTGTAACTTTCACACCAAATATTTTATTGACGTATTCAGTCCCAATAAAAGATGTGAAAACCCTTCGTCTGTTGCTCTGCTGCCTGTGACTCACTGGTCGACTCGTTCAGTTGTGCAATATGGAGGCGAATCTGTCATTAATGTGCTTCGACAATGTTTCTGCTGCTCCCAAGGGGCCAAAAACAATCAGTTTATCAGGAAGAAGAGAAAAAGTCAAAACTAAAAGATGTGTCTTTCTTTACAGATCAGCACTGTTGCCATGGCGAGGCCTCAACGCCCCACATCTGAGAGCTACCAGTCCGTCAGTCAGTCCATCTCTTACTCCAGCGAAGCCGGGATCGGGGACGACGATCATGCGCCCATCTTCTCCCTCTCCAAGAGCTCCATGGATGTGGTCATGGCCACAGGCCCGCCCCATAAGCGGGACCCGGCTTGGACCAGGATGGACCTGAAGCGCAGCTCCAGCACCAACACACACTCTGAGCAGCAGCCGGCGATGCTCCAGCAGCTGCATCCTCACATGTGGCAGCACTTCAACGCCGCCAACAGCCACCAGCTGTCGCCCACCACCCAGAACGTGGACCTGCACAGTCCGCCTGCGCTGAGCGAGCGCTGGATCACCAACATGCAGCGCTGGAGCAGCTGCAGCGGCAGCACGCACAGCCGCAGCAGCACTCCGGACACGGTGGTGTACAGAGGAGCGTCCTCACGTCCCAGTAGTCTCACCCAGGATGCCGGTTGCTCTGCTGTGCCAGACTCACCGATGTCCAAGATCACCTCGACACCAACCACACCTTCACCGTTCATCTCCCCCCTC